CCTTGCCATGGCCTGCCTCGAAATAATTCCACCTAGCTTCTATACCAAAAAGTTCAAAATGCTGTGAAATGATGGAGAATATAAACCGGTTCCTGTACTGGGAAGAGGGACTATCTGTCCAGTAGTGGATCACTTTGGCTTTGCTGAATTTGCTGTGAACATGTGGGACTAGCTTTTTCAATATAGCGAGTACAGCCGATGGATTATGATGATTCACATCCGACACAAATGCAAGATTGGTGTGCTCACATGCTCCTTGCATTGATTTGTGGTAAATCACTACTGGATGGATTGTTGCTGCTGTTGCATTCCAGTATGCTGATTGGATCTCATCATTAGTTTGACATAGGAAGTTTTCTGCAAAGTCCATTTGGATGATAATGTGATCTTCCGGTAAATTCAATTTCAGTTCATGCAGAGATTTATACTGATCAGCCACACGGGGAATATGTTCCAAGAACATCTGATACTGCTGTAACATCATTTGAATAAATTGATCTTTGCTTTGAGAAACCTTTACTATTCTCATTTTTTTCTTGCCTCCAACCTCAACACTTCTCCATTCCTCATATTCAACTGGCACATCATCTTGAACACCTGTCAACATGTCCTTCATGTCATCAAGAGACATCGACCTACCAAAAACTTCTGGATTAGGCGAGGTTTTGATACAGGTCTAGTGATGAGAAGCATTTGAGCTTTAAAGCCATATTCTGGTGCTTCGTGCACAGGCATTTGTTCCTTGATAACAGAGATGTGACTTGGATGTGCTTTGGGCGCATCTTACAGAAAGCCGAATAGGATATCTTTACATCAGGATAGTCTGCCAGGAACCGTTCATGTGTGTTACCAAGATAATCGTTCAAGATTCTTGTTTGTTTCTTCTCGCCATTTGATTTTTTGACATCCCTTTTCCCAGGCATACACCTACTGATCTCATCCTTCTCCAAAAAAGAAGTGATTTGATTTTGTAGTTCCATCTTCAAGTGTGTCAATCGTTGACGCTTAGATGTAATGAGCAATTTCTTGCCTCCTGTTACACTGAATTCATGGCGTGTTATGCCTGTAGCTTTCGTTAGGTATCTAATACATCTATATTTCTTCACAATACGGCCACTAACAACTGTGTTGACGAATGATCTTTGCTTCTGTGAAGTGTTTTCCATGTGGGCAGCTCTAATTTCTGACACCAATGAGTTTCCAATCTGCAGCTGACGGACCACTGATTTTGGCAATGACCGGGGGCTAATCCCAGACTTTTTAATGTCATGTAATGTCTTGGACTTGGGAGTAAGAACCTCTTTGTTGTCCGAAGTACATCCAGGTACCATTTTGTTTTTGCGCTTTAACAGTCGTTCATATCGTTTTTGGAAACGCCTTGAACTTTTCTGATTGGTTTCAAGTTGAGACTTCAATTTACATATTTCATTTCTTGCCCGTGCCAGTGCCTTGGATCATCGCATACAAGTCTGAGATCTCACAGGGAATGGAAGTTGCACAAGCAAACGGTTTGTCCCCCGTGATCTTGTCTGTGGAGATTTCAGAGTGGATGATGTTACAGACTCAGATGTACTGGTGACTTCAGCTGATTGGGTAATATCGCTGGATTGAAGTGACCCATGTGATGAAGTTGGTTCCACAACATTGACTGCATTTGCAACTGCCTGCTTGCGCTTCTGCTTTTTCAACCTGTACCTAGTGGAGTACTCTATGAGACGACGAGCTTTTAACTTCGCCTTTGACAGCATGCCAACAGGAACCCGATATTTGGTTTGTCGGAGCCTTTCCTTTTCCATATAAGTCATGTCATTTTGCTTTTTGCGATCCCGGTAAGCTTTTTGGATCTCTGCACGTGACTTGCTCATGATTGGCCTGAAATGAAGCATTGACATTATATAACATAACACAATTACATAAAATCATCTTAAAATCTGTTAAAATCCAAAAATCAATTGGTAACTGTCTTAAACCAAATACGTTACCAGTGATACCAGATACGTTACCAGTGAAACCAGATACGTTACCATCAGTTGTCTATCACAGCATAACTGCCCCTCAACGGAAATTAAATTGGTGCATCTACTTCAAATTAGTGATTGGAACAGCTGACAAAACTATTGCAAAAGAAGTAAGGTATACCTTCCTTTCAGTGCAAATGAAAGATGACATTTAGGTAGTTAAGATTAACATGGATACTTACCAAGTGTTGCCAAATTGTGTCTTGTTATTTCTATTGACAACCGGAAGTGTGCTAGCAGACGACATCTCATCAAATCACGCTGCTGCCGAGACTGATTAACGCGCATAATTCAAATTTCCGATTTTGGTCACGTATCTGGTTGGAACCTAATCGGTATGGCTAAAAAAGAAATGTAAAAACTATGAAATGGTCCAGCGGTCAGATATTTTTCTATGTTTAAAATAAGGCCAAGTGGTATGTGTAGTTATTAAGTGTAGTTATTCGGTAACACGTGGCTCTATATTTGGTATTGTGGTAACGTATTCTTGTCAAAATCTCAAGTACCTTTCCTTTTCTCAGCAAAACATTGACCACCAGTGCTTTTGACCGCAAGCTAAATACCCAAGTGCTATTGCAACGATCTAGTCAATATTATAACCTACACAAACCCCCTATCAGCAATACCCCAATGATTTCATGTATTTCTTAACAGGAATCTCAAAAAGAGTAACGTATCTGGTCGGGTATGTTAAGACATAGAAACTGAAGTGAAAAAATTCCAAACTTCGCGGATTTGCGGCTCAATTGTTCATAAAACTTATTTATTGCAATGTTTATCCAAATCTAGGTACTTGCAGTCACAGATAATCAGTAAAATAATCCCATCAGGGCGTTTACACTGAGATACATGTAACCGGTGACACGATAAATAATGACAAATAAGGTTACGTTTGGTCATCATATAGCTTTCATATCATCAATACAGGTGGATTTTGATGTGCTCCTAATATATAGGGCTACCATACACATTTTAAGAACAATTTGCCATACATAACTCAGCGTGCATTTTTTTGATGACACAAAGACACCAAATTATGTAAATATTCAAACTTAGTGGAGAATGAACCATAAAACCCATAACTGTCGTGTGGAATTCCCTGTGTGTGTTTTTCGAGGTTGCACGATCAAACATCACATTCAAACTGTCACTATCATGACCTGATAAGCCAGGCTCTGATTGGTCAGATGAAAGGTCGTTCTGACAGAACCCGTAATGAGATGTCCTCAGATCTTTGTGTAGCGGTACATTCGTGACCAACTCGTGTTATTCCGGGACAAGCCTTGCAGGTTACGGAAAGGGGTGAGTGGTGACGAATGGTCGCGGTAGCGAGAACTAAGATTTCAAAGAGATTGAGCTCTCACTTGGCGGCCAAGGCAATCTCAGAGGTGTTCAGACCAGGGTGTGTTATTAGTTTCCGGGATTGGATTTTGAATCAGGTGGTGCTAACGTAATGCCCATGTATATAATTCAAAGCGGAGGAAAGGGCAGCTCATGCAGTCACGATTAGAAATCAAAATGAAGTACTTGAATCTTAATTAATATTATATCTCATTTTAAAACTGGATGGTTGTACAGCGATGGCTGTTGACATGAACGTTCATTATTGCAACGTTCAACTTAAACAGTGTGAAGTTGAAACTGGCGAATCTGCATGTTCTGTAAAGGTGATATAATTATATTTGGGTGCTTTTCAAAACCGTACTCGCCCAAAAGTTTCCTGTGAAAGAGATGATCGCCATTTTACACCCGCTTCCTGTAATTCTAAAATGGCAGCAGTGATTTCAGGGGAAGCAACTCTATATGCCTTAGACAACGCGCTGCAAACGACATTCGTGACCAACTCGTGTTATTCCGGGACAAGCCGAACAGCGACTCGTGCCCCTCTCGTGGCCATTTTTGCGACCGTGTTCCGTCTTAGCGCAAACGGGCATACCTAAAACAATTGTCAACTCGTTGCGTAATGGTTCACATATATTTCCCAATATTTATATATATTTCAGATTAAATTTAAAGCACATCGGGACGTGCGGAATTATGATTGAACAAATTTAACTGTGTCTTGGGTATATTTTTAGATGCAAGACATATGTAAAATCAAAAATTATTTCTGAGGGATTCTTTGATTGGTTTGTCGTATTTTCGCACATAACATTCATCGATAGGGGACGAGTCTTCTTGCAGGTAACGGAAAGGGGCGAATGGTGACGAATGCGCAAACGAATGTCCCAAACGCGAGAGATGGAATAGAGAAAAAAACCGTCTCATGGCCAGAGGAGATAATTTAAAGACTGGAATAAAATGAAAGACTGGAACGGCCGCGTCTTCTAAGGCACCGCAATCCACAGTGCAGTTTAAGCTGCCTTTAGGCGTTCCTGAATCTTATGCTAGTGGGTTCGAATCTCCGATTCACCTGCTAACCGTTCATGGTTTGTCATCACCATTCACATGCTGATGGGTTTCACCGTGTGGTTGACGTCATAGTTTCACATAAAACTCTCGCACGCACGCTAACACGCACACACGCACACCTTTGAGAAGTGTGGCTTGTATTAATTACAAAGATGTTCTGTTCCGTGAAGACTTTGCTACATGTCAAAGTACAGACCTTTTTAGTTATCAAAGGAAGTATCTTGTTTTTTCAACAGAATAGCCATTAATTATAAGTGAAAATGCTCACCTGTGATTTCTTGACAAGCATGTCATGAATTGAATTTATAAAAAGCTAAAATCGCGATTATCGAGCTGTCGCAAATAGGCTAAACACGGACAGTTACCCGTTCCACAAGCCCGTCTTGCAGCTACGACTGTCGTAAGTCTGTGTTAAAGTATGGGAGTTACGATCGCCTTAGTGCAAAGATCGCTTTGTGGAAGGGACTAGGTCAGTCAGAATGGGAGGTTTTGAATATATATAAAGAGAGAGAGCGAGAGAGAGAGTCAAACACCGAGACGCCATGGAGAAGAGTCACACTACGAGACGCCATGAAGAAGGGTCAAACACCGAGACGCCATGGAGAAGGGTCAAACACCGAGACGCCATGGAGAAGGGTCACAATACGAGACACCGTGGGGAAGAGTCAAACACCGAGACACCATGGAGAAGAGTCAAACACCGAGACGCCATGGAGAAGAGTCAAACATCGAGACGCCATGGAGAAGAGTCAAACACCGAGGCGCCATAGAGAAGGGTCAAACACCGAGACGACATGGAGAAGGGTCACAATACGAGACACCGTGGGGAAGAGTCAAACACCGAGACACCATGGAGAAGAGTCAAACACCGAGACGCCATGGAGAAGAGTCAATTACCGAGACACCATGGGGAAGAGTCAAACATCGAGACACCATGGGGAAGAGTCACACTACGAGACACCACGGGGAAGTGTCAAGCTACGAGACGCCATTGGATGGAGTCACACTACGAGACGCCCTGGGACTAGAGTCAAACACCGAGACACCATGGAGAAGGGTCAAACATGGAGACGCCATGGAGAAAAGCCAAACATCGAGACGCCATGGAGAAATGTCACACTACGAGACACCATGGAGAAGGGTCAAACACCGAAACACCGTGGAGAAGAGTCAAACACCGAGACACTATGGAGAAGAGTCAAACATCAAGACACCATGGAGAAGGGTCAAACACCGAGACACCATGGAGAAGGGTCAAGCACCGAGACACCGTGGGGAAGAGTCACACTACGAGACACCATGGAGAAGAGTCAAACATCGAGACACCATAGGGAAGAGTCAAACACCGAGACGCCATGGAGAAGAGTCAAACATCGAGACGCCATAGAGAAGAGTCAAACACCAAGGCGCCATGGAGAAGAGTCAAACATCGATACGCCATGGAGAAGAGTCAAACATCGAGACACCATTGAGAAGGGTCAAACACCGAGGCGCCATGGAGAAGAGTCAAACACCGAGACACCATGGAGAAGGGTCAAATACCGAGACGCCATGGAGAAGAGTCAAACACCGAGACACCATGGAGAAGGGTCAAACACCGAGACGCCATGGAGAAGAGTCAAACACCGAGACGCCATGGAGAAGAGTCACACTACGAGACACCACGGGGAAGTGTCAAGCTACTAGACGCCCTGGGGTAGAGTCAAACACCGAGACACCATGGAGAAGGGTCAAACATCGAGACGCCATGGGGAAGAGTCAAACATCGAGACACCATGGGGAAGAGTCACACTACGAGACACCATGGAGAAGGGTCAAACACCGAGACGCCATGGAGAAGAGTCAAACACCGAGACACTATGGACAAGAGTCACACTACGAGACACCATGGAGAAGAGTCAAACACCGAGACACTATGGACAAGAGTCACACTACGAGACACCATGGGGTAGAGTCAAACACCGAGACACCATGGAGAAGGGTCAAACATCGAGACGCCATGGAGAAGAGTCAAACACTGAGACACCATGGAGAAGGGTCAAACACCGAGACACCATGGAGAAGGGTCAAACATCGAGCCGCCATGGAGAAGAGTCAAACACCGAGACACTATGGAGAAGAGTCACACTACGAGACACCATAGGGTAGAGTCAAACACCGAGACACCATGGAGAAGGGTCACACTACGAGACGCCCTTGGGTAGAGTCACACTACGAGACACCACGTGGAAGTGTCAAGCTACGAGACGCCCTGGGGTAGAGACAAACACCGAGACACCATGGAGAAGGGTCAAACATCGAGACGCCATGGAGAAGAGTCAAACATCGAGACACCACGGGGAAGAATCACACTACGAGACGCCCTGGGGAAGAGTCACTTTACGAGACACCATGGAGAAGGGTCATACATCGAGACGCCATGGAGAAGAGTCAAACACTGAGACACCATGGAGAAGGGTCAAACACCGAGACACCATGGAGAAGGGTCAAACATCGAGTCGCCATGGAGAAGAGTCAAACACCGAGACACTATGGACAAGAGTCACACTACGAGACACCATGGGGTAGAGTCAAACACCGAGACACCATGGAGAAGGGTCAAACATCGAGACGCCATGGAGAAGAGTCAAACACTGAGACACCATGGAGAAGGGTCAAACACCGAGACACCATGGAGAAGGGTCAAACATCGAGTCGCCATGGAGAAGAGTCAAACACCGAGACACTATGGAGAAGAGTCAAACTACGAGACACCATAGGGTAGAGTCAAACACCGCCCTTGGGTAGAGTCACACTACGAGACACCACGTGGAAGTGTCAAGCTACGAGACGCCCTGGGGTAGAGACAAACACCGAGACACCATGGAGAAGGGTCAAACATCGAGACGCCATGGAGAAGAGTCAAACATCGAGACACCACGGGGAAGAATCACACTACGAGACGCCCTGGGGAAGAGTCACTTTACGAGACACCATGGAGAAGGGTCATACATCGAGACGCCATGGAGAAGAGTCAAACATCGAGACGCCATGGAGAAGGGTCAAACACCGAGACGCCATGGAGAAGGGTCAAACACCGAGACGCCATGGAGAAGAGTCAAACACCGAGACACTATGGAGAAGAGTCAAACATCGAGACGCCATGGAGAAAAGTCAAACATCGAGACGCCATGGAGAAGAGTCAAACACCGAGACACCATTGGGTAGAGTCACACTACGAGACACCACGGGGAAGTGTCAAGCTACGAGACGCCATGGGATGGAGTTACACTACGAGACGCCCTGGGGAAGAGTCAAACACCGAGACGCCATGGAGAAGAGTCAAACATCGAGACGCCATGGAGATGGGTCACAGGGGGGTAACATGGGGAAGAGTCAAACATCGAGACGCCATGGAAAGAGTCAAACACCGAGACGCCATGGAGAAGAGCCAAACACCGAGACGCCATGGAGAAGAGCCAAACACCGAGACGCCATGGAGAAGAGTCAAACATCGAGACGCAATGGGGAAGAGTCAAACACCGAGACACTATGGGGAAGAGTCAAACACCGAGACGCCATGGAGAAGGGTCACACTATGAGACACCACGGGGAAGTGTCAAACACCGAGACGCCATGGAGAAGAGTAAAAAATCGAGACGCAATGGGGAAGAGTCAAACACCGAGACACTATGGGGAAGAGTCAAACACCGAGACGCCATGGAGAAGGGTCACACTATGAGACACCACGGGGAAGTGTCAAACACCGAGACACCATGGAGAAGGGTCAAACATCGAGACGCCATGGAGAAGGGTCAAACACCAAGACGCCATGGAGAAGAGTCAAACACCGAGACGCCATGGAGAAGAGTCAAACACCGAGACGCCATGGAGAAGAGTCACACTACGAGACACCACGGGGAAGTGTCAAGCTACGAGACGCCCTGGGGTAGAGTCAAACACCGAGACACCATGGAGAAGGGTCAAACATCGAGACGCCATGGGGAAGAGTCAAACATCGAGACACCATGGGGAGGAGTCACACTACGAGACACCATGGAGAAGGGTCAAACACCGAGACGCCATGGAGAAGAGTCAAACACCGAGACACTATGGACAAGAGTCACACTACGAGACACCATGGGGTAGAGTCAAACACCGAGACACCATGGAGAAGGGTCAAACATCGAGACGCCATGGAGAAGAGTCAAACACTGAGACACCATGGAGAAGGGTCAAACACCGAGACACCATGGAGAAGGGTCAAACATCGAGCCGCCATGGAGAAGAGTCAAACACCGAGACACTATGGAGAAGAGTCACACTACGAGACACCATAGGGTAGAGTCAAACACCGAGACACCACGTGGAAGTGTCAAGCTACGAGACGCCCTGGGGTAGAGACAAACACCGAGACACCATGGAGAAGGGTCAAACATCGAGACGCCATGGAGAAGAGTCAAACATCGAGACACCACGGGGAAGAATCACACTACGAAACGCCCTGGGGAAGAGTCACTTTACGAGACACCTTGGAGAGGGGTCATACATCGAGACGCCATGGAGAAGAGTCAAACATCGAGACGCCATGGAGAAGGGTCAAACACCGAGACGCCATGGAGAAGGGTCAAATACCAAGACGCCATGGAGAAGAGTCAAACACCGAGACACTATGGAGAAGAGTCAAACATCGAGACGCCATGGAGAAGAGTCAAACATCGAGACGCCATGGAGAAGAGTCAAACACCGAGACACCATTGGGTAGAGTCACACTACGAGACACCACGGAGAAGTGTCAAGCTACGAGACGCCATGGGATGGAGTCACACTACGAGACGCCCTGGGGAAGAGTCAAACACCGAGACGCCATGGAGAAGAGTCAAACATCGAGACGCCATGGAGAAGGGTCACAGGGGGGTAACATGGGGAAGAGTCAAACATCGAGACGCCATGGAGAAGAGTCAAACACAGAGACGCCATGGAGAAGAGGTAAACACCGAGACGCCATGGAGAAGAGCCAAACACCGAGACGCCATGGAGAAGAGTCAAACATCGAGACGCAATGGGGAAGAGTCAAACACCGAGACACTATGGGGAAGAGTCAAACACCGAGACGCCATGGAGAAGGGTCACACTATGAGACACCACGGGGAAGTGTCAAGCTACGAGACGCCATGGGATAGAGTCACACTACGAGACACCATGGAGAAGAGTCAAACATCGAGACGCCATGGAGAAGAGTCAAACATCGAGACGCCATGGGGAAGAGTCAAACATCGAGACGCCATGGAGAAGAGTCACACTACGAGACCCCATGGGGAAGAGTCAAACATCGAGACGCCATGGAGAAGGGTCAAACATCGAGACGCCACGGAGAAGAGTCAAACACCGAGACACCATGGGGAAGGGTCACACTACGAGACGCCATGGGATAGAGTCACACTACGAGACGTCATGGGGAAGAGTCAAACACCGAAACGTCATGGGGAAGAGTCAAACACCGAGACGCCATGGGGAAGAGTCAAACACCGAGACGCCATGGAGAAGTGACCAACTAGACATCCGGTTCGCAAAACAACACGGATTTCTACGTCCAGATTTCGGTCGACTGCAGGTTTTGAAAAGCATGTCTACCGACATCGAGGCTTCGACAGATATTTTCCAAATCTTATTTGTTAAGGTTTCGAGAAAGTTACATGAGGCCATTGGGATGAGTAATCGTTTGAATGATGTACCCAAGTTTTAAAAGAGACTTTATATCTTTATCTCACATGTGTATAAAGATATGCGTACATACGTTATTCTCAAATAATTATGAAAATATTTTTCTAAAACATTCCATCAAAATTAAAATCGTGGGTTTCAACAATATATGCATGTTTCCAAGTGCAGATCTACTTCATTATAAAATAATATTACAAAAATGTAGCTACTACTTGAAAACATTAATTATGAAAAAATATAAATAACTTTACTTCTGTAGATATATCTATGTCAACAGTATCATATATACCACTGTGATTGTGCCAACTAGATCCCTATGTTCCTTGAAAACAATAACAAATGTTTCAGAAAGTCATTGTTGTGAAATCATATCACTAGTTTTGTTCTCATAATATGTTTGCTTTCATCTTTTATCTAAATATGTAACCGAAATGTGCCGTATTCTCATTCCTAATTCGGGGCGGTCGGGTAGCCTAGTGGTTAAAGCGTTCGCTCGTCACGCCGAAGACCCGGGTTCGATTCCCGACATGGGTACAATGTGTGAAGCCAATTTCTGGTGTCCCCTGCCGTGATATTGCTGGAATATTGCTAAAAGCGGCGTAAAACCATACTCACTCACTCACTCATTCCTAATTCTGAAGGTACGACATGCAAATTACAATTTGTTTTATCTTCTGGGTTACACATGTGTGCTTTATGGCAGTTTTGGAACTTGCATCCATTGATAGTTATGCTACAAAACATCTAAAAAACAGGCATAATCCCGGACTAGTACAAGCAGACACGCACGCATGCACGCACGCACGCAGGCACGCACACACACACACGCACACACACACACACACACACACACATAAGTGAAGTAATCTTGAACGCGATGCTAAACTCCATTTCAGTCCTTGTTTTATACGACCAGTGAGGATCCGGGGTAGAATAGGTCTTCAGTAACCGAAGCTTGTAGTTAAAGGCAACTATGCTTGTCATGAGAGGCGACTAACGGTTGGTTGATGCATGTCATCGTATCCCAATTGCGTAGATCGATGCTCATGATGTCATTCACTGGATTGTCTGGTCCAGGCTCGATTATTTACAGACCGCCGTCATATAGCTGGAATATTGCTGAGTGCGGCGTAAAACAACAACCAACCAATGCTGAACCGTGTGTTTGTCTTGAAGCACTGCTCGAAATAACATGACAAAACGTACAAACTGAATTATATCCTTGGGACATAATAAATTCATTTCTACAATTCCATTACATAAAACTACCGGTTAAATTATGTTACATATTCCACCACAAGAATTAATGCACGCAACAAACGAACATAAAAACACATGACCGCGTGATCAGTTATCTCTTCCCACGTGTGTCAGCAAGCCATCATTTTGTCAAGATGTTATGCAAATTAACGACATACGTCCAGACATGTGACAAAAAACAATGGATTCACGTCTTAAAAAACGTCCACACTTAGACTCTTCCTACCAAGATAACTAGCACTGTCATTTCTGTACACGACACGAAGACTTGATGGCATTGAAATGAATGACTAGCTGTAGTGTGTTGAAAAACATTCGCGTTCACATTACTCCAAGATCTCCGGATCCTTTCGGGATTACTCGGGTCATTCCGGGACACACCGGATACAGTTACAGAATGGGGCGACCAATAACGAATGCCCGTGCTCGAAAGTGGGCGGCCATAACGCCATTACGGAGTATGTCCTTGTACGGTGTATATATCAGTAAATACAAAACGATCTCTCTCTTCGAAATACAATCTAAGATTATTGCATCTCACATTTTCACACCCTACGCAAAAGCGAATCCTGTAATTTAACGTACCATTTGTCGGTGGGGTAGCCTACGAGATAAAGGATCAAGCAAACTTTCATGGTATTCCCTTTTGTGTGTATAAGATATGCACAATTGCGCGGCCTTTATTATTTCCACTCGGAACTGTCCGATTAACTTTGTTTTGGATATACAGAAATCGGATGTGCTGGTCTGGAAATGGGAGAATTTAGAAGTCTCAAAGCTGATTGGCTAAATATAAAGTTCACCTGACGGGACCTCCTATGTTTGTTTGTTTGTTGTTTAACGCCGCATTCAGCAATAATCCATCCATATAACGGTATTCTGTAAATAATCGAGTCTGGACCAGACAATAGAGTGATTGATATCACGAGCATCGATCCCCGCAATTTGGATACGATGACATGCATCAAACCAAGTCAGCGAGCCTGACCACCCGATCCCGTTAGTCGCCTTTTATGGCAAGCATGGTTTGCTGAAGATCAATTTTAATCAGGGTCTTCACCGGTTAAAGGCAACTATGCTTGTCATGAGAGGCGACTAACGGTTGGTTGATGCATGTCATCGTATCCCAATTGCGTAGATCGATGCTCATGATGTCATTCACTGGATTGTCTGGTCCAGACTCGATTATTTACAGATCGCCGTCATATAGCTGGAATATTGCTGAGTGCGGCGTAAAACAACAACCAACCTTGATTTATCCCTTTAATGCCGAGCCGTGTGTTTGTCTTGAAGCACTGCTCGAAATAACATGACAAAACGTACAAACTGGACCAGACAATACAGTGATTGATATCATGAGCCTCGATCGACGCAATTGGGATACGATGACATGCATCAACCAAGTCAGGGAGCCTGACCACCTGATCCCGTTAGTCGCCTTTTACGGCAAGCATGGTTTGCTGAAGATCAATTTTAACCAGGGTCTTCCACCGGTACCTCCTAAGATTGAGACGGTTAACAGAGCGCAGTCAAACAAGGGGTTTAAAGTTCATTAAGCACATGCGTATATTTCCCACCACCCCGTACATCGCACCATGTGAACATGCACTACTAACCTGTATTACTTTGTTTACTCCGCGTTTAATTGACGCTGACTCACCGCAACTCGGCTATTTCCGTGGATGGGCATTTGCTCTGACGGAATTACCCGACAAGTTGCACTTATCTGATCCACCCACTGAAATATTTTTTATGGCAAAATTTTGTATGAATGAAAGGAACAAAGAGATATTTATCGTAATTAATTTGCACTTTAAGGCTACAAAGAATCGGTTGTTTAAAATAATATTTAATTTTCTTACGTTTATGTCTGTGTAGAAATGCCTCTATATGCACGTACATCTGTGCAAGTTGAGGGCGATTTTAATTAAAATTTATGCACCAGAGGAGATATTAGTTGTGAGAGAAGACGGTGAATAAAGATAACACACGCAATGGAATATCTTCACCGTGGTTACAAATGGCCCAGGAGAAAAAATATGAAAATCACTTAACTATGGTGCACAGTTGTAGCGTATTGGTTCATAAGATGAGTGAGTAAATATTGGTTCAAGCCGCGTCATCAGTGTTGCAGCTATTAGCGGCTCGTTTCCTAAGGATGTTCAATGTGACAGACTTAGGACACTGAAACCTCGTCATGCCGGATGCTTCGTAATCCAGGCAGGGCAGTATAGTTTATTATACATATTTTTATCATATCTCAAAACGACAATGTAAATTATTTGTAAAAAAAATATCCAAGTCATATGTCGGTGAGTGAGTGAGTTAGTGGATAGGAGTGGGTTGGGTGAGTGAGTGGGCGGGGTGAGAGCGGATTGGTGGGTGGGGTGAGTGAGTGGGCGGGGTGAGAGCGGATTGGTGGGTGGGGTGAGTGAGTGGGCGGGGTGAGAGTGGATTGGTGGGTGGGGTAAGTGAGTGGGAGGGGTGAGAGTGGATTGGTGGGTGGGGTGAGTGGATTGGTAGGTGGGGTGAGTGGATTGGTGAGTGAGGTGAGAGTCGATCGGTTGGTGGGTTGAGTGAGTGGGCGGGGTGATAGTCGATTGGTTGGTGGGTTGAGTGGATTGGTGGGTGGTGAGAAAGTGAGTGAGTGAATGATTTGATTCGTGCATGTGAGTGGGCGGGGTTAGAGTCGATTGGTTGGTGGTGTGAGTGAGTGGGTGGGGTGAGTAAGTGGGTGGGGTGAGTGAGTGGGTGGGTTGGTGAGTGGATACAGTGAGTGAGTGGATTGGTTGGTGTGGTGAGTGGATGTGAGTGGGGTGGTGGATGTGAGTTAGTAAGTGGGTTGATGGATGTGAGTGGATGCGGTGAGTGAGTGAGTGGGTTAGTGGATGTGAGTTTCTGGTGGCGGTGAGTGAGTGAGTGAATTAGTGTGTATGTGTGTGTGTGTGTGTGTGTGTGTGTGTGTGTGTGTGTGTGTGTGTGTGTGTGTGTGTGTGTGTGTGTGAGGGGGGAGGGGGGGGGGGGGGGGGGGCGTGAATAAGTGAGTGCATACAATCGAATCTGCCAAACCAGTGACTAACAATACGATGACGCGTAATTACAAGCCCAGTTAACCCGTGAAGATCCGGGGTAGAATAGATCTTCAGCAACCCATGCTTGCCGTAAAAAGGCGACTATGCTTGTCGTAAGAGGCGACTAACGGGATCGGGTGGTCAAGGCCCGCTGATTCCGCTGACTTGGTTGATACATGTCATCGCATCCCAACTGCGTGGATCAATGCTCATGATATCAATGACTCGATTATTTACAGACCGTCGTCATATAGCTGGAATATTGCTGAGTGCGGCGTTAAACAACAAACAAACAAACAAATCCAGTCTGACCTCCAATCCCTTTGTGGGAAGGTTCTTACAAAAGGTATTACGTACTGGGGGCTGTGACACGGAATTCCCACACGTAAGTTGTTGTGTACAGGTAATAAATAAAGTGATTATGTAAACGCCCAAATCCATTCGTTTGTGTTGCATTCCACAAATCACGTTAAACCAGTCAGCCAGTTATTAATAAACAAAAGCAACTGTCACGCGATTCGTTTTCAAGCATATCATCTTGATATTTGAATCGGAGTATTTCGTCGTGGTATTTCAACCAGCATTTCGTGGATGACGATGTCCTTTACTAAATCATCATCATCATCATCATCATCATCATCATCATCATCATCATCGCCAGCAGCAGCAGCAGCAGCATGTTTACACCAACGCCAGCATAGTCTTCGCCCTTGTTAGCGTTAATACCATCATTTTTATTTATAAACATTTTTGTTGTTACTGTTCTCGTCATCTTCACCTCCTTCGGCTTATAGTCAAAGGCGATTATGATTTTCGTAGGAGGCGACTGTTAAACGAGTTCGGGTGGTCAGACTCGCTGACTTGGCTGACTCACGATGTCAATCACTGGATTGTCTGGTCTTGATTCGATTTTTTACAGTGCGACGTTAAACAACAAGCAAAACATTGTTGTTTTTAATTATTATTATTATTATTATTATTTTTAATTTTTTATTATTATTATTTATCATCATCATCATTACATTATTATTATTATTATTATTATTATTAGTAGTAGTAGTAGTAGTAGTAGAAGTAGTAGTAGTAGTAGTAGTAGTAGTAGTAGTAGTCGTTGGTTAGTCACATCATCACAAGTACCATCTAACTCAATTTCAGCCCTTTCCTATGGTGTTGTCCCCAATCCCGCAGTCACCGTAAACATCGCATCATTGTCATTTAATCGATAATTTACCAACAGTAAATCCTAACACTGCAACATTTATGAACATAAACCCGTTTGCAAATTCGTCCCCAGTGGAAGTTGCATTGCCTGTTTCATATCCCCATACTCGCAGGAACCCGACACAGTCTGCAATCAAGAAACGCTGTCTGAGAATACGATCACGCCGACGACACAAGCTGGACGGAAGATCGGCACAAGTCTCACTCCCGGGTAACGAGCAGACAGGTAACCCACATTTTTGTCACTAGAGGGCGCTCGGCTCATTAACAGGTGTGCAGCTAACACAGGTAAGACGATTTCCGCGTCCAGCGTCTGTCTACACGATAAGCTTTTCTGTGCAGATAAATCAAATGTCTATTGCAATCAGTTCGTCTTCAAGGGCAGTGTTTGATTGACATGTGTCAAGCTGCAAGTGTTCATTGCCTGGCGTGTTTATTCGCGCTGTAGTGCTGTGTCGGGCGAGTTAGGGCGCAGTGTAGGGGATTGGTCAAGTTTGACTGGTCAGGGTCCGGTTTGGGTCATGTAAACATGTCCGTCTCATTCATAACCCGTTTAGCAACATCGCATTATGAAACAGGTCATGTTTTATCTTTTGATTGCATGTTATATCTTTCTTCCCATTATGCCTCGTTATAAGGTGAAAGTTTCGGAGGTGCACTGTCCCCGTGTGGTGTTTGTAAACAATTGGCTAATTGCGTAACGATTTATATATAGGTCGCCGTTACTGATGCACTGCTAAATACACACGGCATGCTGACGCGGAGTGCACGGGCGGCACGTGCATCTAATGCAGATCAATTTCAAAGTGTGCTTCGCGTAGTGTTGCCTTCGTTCGTCTTGACGGGTGCCAAAATATTCTGTATACGCATATACCAGTTTCTTCGACGATTGCACGGTGCGTAACCAATATGACTTTAGAGAGCAACTAAGCCTACCAGTTTCATAATGGGCAAGGGTGTTGTAGTGTTTGAAAAGCGAGTTGTACATTTCTAGGAAATTGATATTCTACTTTAAAACTAAACCATTTAAAATCATAGCCCCATGAAACAGCACACAGGCTCGCTATGCAACGGGATATATGCATACACGCTCTTGAATGTGTAACCGCACACCTGTGCCGACACAGATCGATATATGCTTTATTACATCTGCTCGGACAGACATGTCAATGTCACCTTTCGACAACAGCCCGTATCACTGTCAGCAGGCTGATGCGCAAACGACGTATGATATAGCTGTTGTTACTGAAATGTACACATGTCAGTTTCACCTCTAGACCACAGCGACTATCACTCACTGTATGTTGTCGCATCTGCAAATGATGACGTGCGTGTGTGTGTGTGTGTGTGTGTGTGTGTGTGTATGTGCGCGCGTGCGTGTGTGTGTGTGTGTGTGTGTGTGTGTGTGTGTGTGTGTGTGTGTGTGTGTGTGTGTGTGTGTGTGTGTGTGTGTGTATGTGTGTGTGTGAAGCTCTAATGTACTGAATAACGACGTCGTGTTTTATCTTTCAACGTAATTCAACCACAAGAAGGTTCCACGGGACAGACGTTTTTGCCACATTAGGAATCAATCGTTTATTACATGGGTGGGTGAATAAGAGGTTTTTGATGCAGTACTTTTGAAAATAATGACCCCTTGCCATCATTCCTGAACACTATATATGTTATTATCTAATGTCCAATTTACAGGATTTTCCCCAGTTATGCTTATCATTCTTTATAATCCTCACCTAGAAACCGTCATATGCTCCCCTGACCTGATCTCTCCTCCCCCCCCCCCCCCCCCCCCCCCCCCCCGGGGGTTTGTTACGTTCTAATTACAATCCAGGAGATCCTGAAAAGTGAATTAAGGGGTATGTTTGTTTCATCTGCTATGACTGAAATGTACACATGTCAATTTCACCAATGAAATGACAGCATGCTTATCACAACACGTTGCCGGATCTACGCATGTGAAGGCTAGTCAAATGTTACGTGTGTTAATGTTAGGAAGTGTACAGCTACATTTATGTAGAACATTTATTCCTGAACTGTCAGTTAAGTTCACCCATGACAATACGCATCTATTCTTCAGTGTTCTCGTTCAAAACACGATCGCTTGCACCTCACTTGTGACACCGTCATGGTGGGTTGGGTTGCTTTGTTGTTTAACGCCGCACTCAGCAATATTCCAGCTATATGACGGCGGTCTGTAAATAATCGAGTCTGGACCAGACAATCCAGTGATTGATAGCATGAACATCGATCCACGCAATTGGGATCGATGACATGCATCAACCAAGTCAGCGAGCCTGACAACCCGATCCCGTTAGTCGCCTCTTACGACAAGCACACGTACAGGCCCGTGAAGATCCGGGGTAGAATAGGTCTTCAGCAACCCATGCTTGCCGTAAAAAGCGACAATGCCTGTCGGAAGAGGCGACAAACGAGATAGGGTGGTCAGGCTCGCTGACTTGGTTTGATGCATGTTATCGATCCCAATTGCGTGGATCGATGCTCATGTTGTCAATCACTAGATTGTCTGGTCCAGACTCAATTACTTACAGACCGCCGTCATATTGCTGGAATATTGCTGAGTGCGGCGCTAAACAACAAACAAACAAACGACAAGCACAGTCGCCTTTAACGGCAAGCATGGGTTGCGGAAGACCTATTCTAATCACGGGTCTGTTAGCTCTTAAGAACGGTTACATAATCCCATTCAATTTAAAAAAACAACAAGAACCTATGATATTACGAGGCAACGGAATGGATCCGGGGATCAGTTCGACGTAGGGTCTTGCTAATTATATCAATCACTGGTTTGTCTGGTCCAGACCCAATTATTTTCAGACCGGCATATTGCTGAGTGCGGCGTTAAACGTCAGTTAGAGAAACAAACTGGTATTTCTCATACAACTCGTATTTTATGTCCTTGCATAGAAAACATTGTAATTAATCGTGGACTATCACTCACGTAGAATATAGAGTGTTAGACATCGGACCAAAAGACAGGAAGAATATAAACAAGAGTCTTAGCATTCTTTGAGACGAAACACGGCATTGTTGCTTAAGCGATGTGAAACCCATCTGTTTGATGGCGACAGCCTTTCATCCATCGGCTTATGTTTAAACATGGCTTCCTCATTTCGTCAGTGCAGTATTCTGCCGTATCCATCACAGTAAGACCTTGCTAATTAGCACACCCCATAATCAAGAAAATTATAGGTTGCAAAAACACTCACTCTTATCCAACTATATAACCCTGGATCACACACCCGTTTATCCAGATGCTGAAGTTGTCCGGATTAACGGAGTTCCAAAATAATCCCAAATAATTTAAAATGCATGCAAAAGGTTGATACACTAGGCCTATCGGCAAACCTCGCCCTTTCCGTTAAAAAGAAGATTTTCATCACAACTGGTGACATCCGATTGTGTTCAGAGTGACACTCGTCTGTCTCCGGCCAAAAGTGAGCGGAATCAGCCGAGTTGAACCGAGTGGACCCGAGTGTATCTGAAGATGGTATCACTTAAATCCGGGACAAAGTATGCCCGTTAAATGAATATGTCAGCGACAGTCAGAAGACTTACTGACATCGATTATACCAGCTGGTTAAGTATGACGAAAATCCCTCCCCATAAATATAGGACGGCTTTGAATAGAAAGAAAAACCTGACTAAACAGAGGCTCTTAAAAACTCCTCACGTCTTCCAATTACATATTATAGATGGCATTGTGCCAGCACGGACATTATTAACGTGTACCCCCATAAACCTCGTTATTACAACATGTACTCCCCACCACGTATTGTAGTGATTAGTTTTGCGTTATAATGAGGTAAGCACCTCGCTTTTGTGAGACATGAAGTTTTAATTTACGATAAAAAATAAATATGGCTGATCAATACTCAAGTATACTCAAGTACATGTGTACTGTGACGACATATGGAGCGTGAACTGATCTATTATTTAGGAAAATAATGTTCAGCTTTGTTGAAGTTTCGGAGAGATGTTAACTGTCCATCAGCACACTTAATTAAAAAACGAAAAATATGTGTAACAAGTTTTATAGAACGAGACTGTTTTTGTGTTTTCTTAGTTCAAGTGTTCTCTTAATATAAACCCTTAATATATCAACCGCCTCCGTGTCCGGGTTCGATCCCTGGCCGCGTCATACCAAAAGACGTTAAATGATGGTACTTGTTGTTACCCTGCCTGGAGCTCGGCATTAAGGGTCTTGGGCAAGGACTGGTCGGCTCGGAGTCAGTATACTGTGTCTGAGTGGGGTATTCATGTTAAACTGCGGCATGGTATCTCAATGGGCTAGCACTATAAATCGGCATCATTCCGGACGCGACGTTAAACCCCATTTCACCTCACCTATCATTTTATATTCTAATAGAGGAGCGCTTGGTGAAACAGGTCTTGTTTCACGATTAGATCCTCGCACAACGATTATCGTTTACAAATCTATGTTAGAGTTAGGAAGTAACGACAATCATAACGCTAACGTCGCTTTGTGCAGTGCGGCCCCGTCTAAGTAGAATCCCCACTGGCAAAGTGCCAACGTTCGGCCTGTTTGGAACAATGGATAAGACATGTTTATGAATTGTCCCAAGGACATCTACATAAGAAATTTTCCCTTCAATATAATCGCAACCAGAATAAGTACCATTTAAAAATATTTATTCTATCAATCATAGAGTTAGACACATTTATATTTGCAAATAAGCTTTGAACTACGTCACGAGATGATCGTGTGGGCAAAAAAGCCGATATTCCTGCACATTGAACTGAATACAGAAAAATCGACCGGTCTTTTTTGACGCTTGTGGCGTTATATCGAAGCGCATTGATCAACGCTAATGCAGCATTATGCAACATAACAATCCACTGAAAAGAAGACCACTCACCCATGCTTTCCCTCTGTGCATATTGATTAACAGGTGTGATCGTGGTATTATTACAACCAGGTGTTCGGGGCAGTTTACCGTTGAAAAGAGAAGCGTAAAAAGGATTGTGACCTAGAAAAATGTTTGAATCGATTTTAGAGTTTCAATCTTTCATGAATGGAGACGAATTGCGAGAACACTAATATATTTTCCGTGTATCGTATTATTAACGTTGTTTAAATATGCAACGGTCACAGTTTTTATCAGTTTTGGCTGAAGACAAGTTATTTATGTCTCAGTATAGTATTTCTGTCAGCCAGTTTATTAAAATCTTACTTTATAATCATTGCGGGGGGGGGGGGGGGGGGCTCGGGTGGCCCAGTCGTCTAAGGCGCCGCGATTCGCTGTGCAGAGTTGCGTCCCTTGGGCACGCCAGAAACCTATGATTGTGGGTTCGAATCCCGGTTCGCCCCGATTATGTTTCTAGGTTTGTCAGCACCATACCCGTGCTCGTGGGTTTCACCGAAGTGGTAAACGTCTGAGACTTGCATCACTTCGGGCTTTCCTCCAACATTAAGCTGACACGCCGTGATATAACTGGAATACTGTTAAAATCGGCGTTAAACCCAACTCACTCACTCACTTATAATAATTTCGATTATTTCTAGGGAAGTGTAAATTTGTTTGTGATAGCGTTGATGAAAAATATAGATTTCATGATTCACCTTTCGTTTACGGGCTAAATGGTTATGTGTGAAGGGGTAGCCTAGTTGATAAAGGTAGTCGTCGACTGTTCTTTTTAAGCGCTGCTTAAACTGAGAACGAAGCCTTCATTAGCGTCATTTTTTAGCGTCACGGATTTTTTTCACAGAAATTCTAACGGGAAGTTATACATGTACAGAAAGGGTATTCACGACACGTGTTGCTTTAAGTCTTCCAGTCGAAAGGTATCGCTCGATGATTTCCTTTAAATCATTCGCTCGTCCCGAAGTCGATTCCCACATGGGCACGATGTATACAGTCCACTTTTTGGTGTCCCCCGCCGTGATATTGCTGAAATTTTGCCATAAACGGGACCAGAACTTACTTATTCATTCGATTTTACGCTTAAATTATGTAGACTTCAATCACGATAATGCGTCTACATATATAGCAGGGTGTAATTCGGTTTAATGCCTCTACGTTCCATAGCCCATTTCCAAGCTCGGTCTAATCATTGTAATTAGTGACTTGGGACATGTAAGAGGGGAGCATGGTCGACCCAGTCGTCTAAGGCGCCGCGATTCGCTGTTCAGAGTTGCGTCCCTTGGACACGCCAGAAACCTATGATTGTGGGTTCGAATCCCGGTTCGCCCTGATTATGTTTCTAGGTTTGTCAGTACCATACCCGTGCTCGTGGGTTTTACCGAAGTGGTAAACGTCTTAGACCTGCAACACTTCGGGCTTTCCTCCCACATTAAGCTGACACGCTGTGCTATAACTGAAATAATGTTAAAAGCGACGTTCAACCCAACTCACTCACTCATTCACCTGCATCTCTTCGGAATTTCTCCAACCTCACACTGTGATATGACTGAAGTACTTAACGCAGCGGCGTTAATCCTCACTCACTCACTCACTCACTCACTCGCTCACTCACTCCACATCATGTAGGCAAGACTACTAGATATCTAAAATTAGAACGAAACTTGGTAGACTGCCAACTGTCCTTAATGTGATTATGAAATGATTGGAGTGTCAGGGTTATCGTTTTAAACGTTCGACCAGCCCACCCGACCCATCCCTCGCTATAGACCACCATCACCGATTCATCCATCCCAGCTGGGCACCACCAATCGCCGGCCCACGTCGAACCACCCATCCCCACTAGAGACCTTCGATCAACGACCCACCTGGAACCACCATCCTCGCTTTAGACCACCCATCACTGACTCAATCATCCTAGCTGGGCACCATCAATCGCCGGCCCACGTCGAACCATCCACCCCCGGCTAGAGACCTTCCATCACCAACCCACCTGGAACCACCCACCCCCACTAGAGACCACCCATCACCGACCCACCTGGAACCACCCACTCCCACTAGAGACCTTCCATCACCGACCAACTTGGAACCACCCACCCCCACTAGAGACCTTCCATCACCGACCCACATGGAACCACCCACCCCCACTAGAGACCACCCATCACCGACCCACCTGGAACCACCCACCCCCACTAGAGACCACCCATCACCGACCCACCTGGAACCACCCACCCCGACTAGAGACCACCCATCACCGACCCACCTGGAACCACCCACCCCCACTAGAGACCACCCATCACCGACCCACCTGGAACCACCCATCCCGACTAGAGACCACCCATCACCGACCCACATGGAACCACCCACCCCCACTAGAGACCACCCATCACCGACCCACCTGGAACCACCCACTCCCACTAGAGACCACACATCACCGACCCACCTGGAACCACCCACCCCCACTAGAGACCACCCATCACCGACCCACCTGGAACCACCCATCCCGACTAGAGACCACCCATCACCGACCCACATGGAACCACCCACCCCCACTAGAGACCACCCATCACCGACCCACCTGGAACCACCCACTCCCACTAGAGACCACCCATCACCAACCCACCTGGAACCACCTACCCCGACTAGAAACCTTCCATCACCGACCGACATGGAACCACCCACCCCCACTAGAGACGTTCCATCACCGGCCGACATGGAACCACCCATCCCCACTAGAGGCCACCCATCACCGGCCCACCCATCCTAGCTGGAGACCACCAATCACCGGCCCACCCATCACAACCACAAGGCATAACATAGGGGCCTTCCCTTGTCACATATAAATCAAGATCACGGTAACCGCCTATCACGACTTCACCCCACCCGTGTAAATGTTCTCTGCCTCATTTAATCCACTGTATGACGAACGGTTTCCGGCCATAAAATACGCGAGGAAAATCTTCTTATCCCATATCTCAATTTATGGTAAAATGATATGCTGTTTTAGATGTACTACACGAAGTTAACACAAGTGGCGATTCTTAACTGAGACTAAGCTAGTTCCCTATGTCAAACCCAAGCTAGTGCCATGCACTGATGCGGAAATAAAGATATGTAAACCAATCGAAAACTCTTTTTTAAACCACTGCCAAAAGAGAACCAATTTACATGATTTACAAAAATAAATGTTCAACATATTTGCTAAAATGGACAGCTTTTGCCTTGTTCCGGTTTTTTCCCGGTTAAATGGTCCGGTTTATTCGTCACGTTCTTTCCGCCTATTAGTGTCGAGAACGGTAATAGCATCTTTACAGCGATAGCCATGTCTCAGGGTGTCTCAAGTAATTCTAAACCCCTAGTCGTAATATTATCCTTGCAACCAATCCCTATTGGTGACTTCATTGTCAACCGCCAGTCGTGAACCGACGCCCGCATTCAACGTTCTCAGTGTGCTAACGCAACGCTTACAGCTCGACTTACCTTAACATTCGTCATTTTATCTGCAGTCAAGCCAAATTACAATAAGATATAAAATCACGATTCGGGCCCTTCCTCTTAATAATCTCCAGCCCGAACCGAGCTTGCTACTCAAAACTGAAAATACGCCCTCAGTAATGAGGCTTTAATCTAGACCTTATAACCTTCAATTTTACGCGGCTTAACCAATTTGGAAGCCGTTACGTTGTATAATGTGGTATAGCTTTGTTAGTGTAAACTTAGGACTAAGTTATTGGGTTTTAGTTGGAATTTTATTTACGTTTCTCACAATGGAATATAAGATGAAGCGATTAAATCTTTTACCTAGGGTTCCCACAATGCTGGAATATTGCAGAGTGCGGCTTCCCCCCCCCCCCCCCAAAAAAGGAAAAAAAGACCCACAAAAAACCACAACAACAACAACCAAATAAACAAAAAACAACCCCCCCCCCCCCCCCCCCCCTCCCACCCAAAAAAAAAACCCAAATAAAAACCCACAAAAAACCACCAAGATATTCACAGCGTGTAGCATTATACTGCGATAATGGTTGCAGATTCCCATCGTGTACTAAAACATGTTACTTTTTGAGGAATTGAACTCGGACCTAAGCCTGAAGCGCTGCCCCCCCCCCCCCTTTGGCCTACGTCACTCAAGTAATGATATTTGTGTAACTGTGTTAATGACAAAACATAATTTCATAGTGAAACGTCTTTATCTCGATATCTCGATATAAAACAATAGGTCGCGATAAAATCATTATCGACACCCCGTTGTCTTTAACTACGGATATATCGAACCCCTTTACCTCGATGTAGCGTTTAAGACAATATGACGTTATGGTCGCGAGAAATCCTAATCGATCCCGCATATCTTTAACTACGGATATCTCGAAATCCTTTAACTCGATATGACGTGTAAGTCCCGACAGAATCCTTATCGACTCTCAAGTTCAATGCTGACACCCGCTTGTCTCGAAATACGAATTTCCAAGCATTTTTGGTGCTACCGAACGCTTCGTCATTATGAAATTTGGTTGCGTTACGAAACAACCATACAAGTATAACTGATTATTATTTGCACTGTTTTGGTAAATATTTCTGTTGATAAGTATGAACAGAATCTCGACGTCGAGATACGCACATACCCGTTAAGATCCGGGGTAGAATCTGTCTCTAACGGGACCAGGGGTTCAAGGCTCGCTAACTTGGTTGATGCATGTCATCGTATGCCAATTGCGTAGACAGATACTCATGATGTCAGTAACAGGATTGTCTGGTCCAGATTCGATTATTTACAGAATGCGGTCTACAGCAACCCATGTTTGTCGTAAGAGGCGACTGATGGGATCGGGTGGTTCAGGTCGCTGGCTTGGTTGATGCATGTCATCGTATCCCAATTGCGTAGATCGATGCTGGATTGTCTGGTCCAGATTCATATGAATGCAGCGTTAAACAAAAAACAAATACAAAACAAATTTACAGAATGCCGTCTTATAGCTATAATATTGCTTAGTGCGGCGTTAAGCAACAAACAAACAAACAAATTTACAGAATGCCGTCTTAAAGCTATAATATTGCTTAGTGCGGCGTTAATCAACAAACAAACCACACATTTACAGAATGCCGTCTTATAGCTATAATATTGCTGAGTGCGGCGTTAAGCATCAAACAAACCACAAATTTACAGAATGCCGTCTTATAGCTATAATATTGCTTAGTGCGGCGTTAATCAACAAACAAACCACAAATTTACAGAATGCCGTCTTATAGCTATAATATTGCTTAGTGCGGCGTTAAGCATCAAACAAACCACAAATTTACAGAATGCCGTCTTATAGCTATAATATTGCTTAGTGCGGCGTTAATCAACAAACAAACCACAAATTTACAGAATGCCGTCTTATAGCTATAATATTGCTTAGTGCGGCGTTAATCAACAAACAAACCATAAATTTACAGAATGCCGTCTTATAGCTGTAATATTGCTGAGTGCGGCGTTAAGCAACAAAAAAAAGAAACAAAGAAACGATACACACGGTGGCTCATATTGCCAGTTCAACATTGTCTCTCGATGGTTTCCATGACAACCCATAAGTTGATTCCGCAATGAAGGTTGAGGTTTAAATTATGTATGCAATACATGGACCAAGTCGATGTGTGGTTTAGCTCCCCGAAAGTCGTTGCATGTCTTCGTGATAAACCTACATTAGTGTTGGCCACACACCAGTCCTCGTGCATAGCTTCGTTGGCGGAACACACTTACTCTGTCGAATGCACTGTTATCGATTTCTGTTTCGGAATTTTAAAATTCATTGGTAAGGAATTCCTTAACACCGTGGGGGCACCATGGCACGTTATCAACCAATTAACCGAGTCTGACCACCCAATCCATTAAGGGACTGGTAATTTATTGCAGTGGATCGCCGCCGTGGTCTGGAGGTAGAGCGTTCGCCCGGAGAGCGAAAGGTCCGGGGTTCGATCCCCGCACGCGTCATACCAAAATACATTAAATGATGGTATTTGTTGTTACCCTGCCTGGCGCTCGGCATTAAAGGGCTAAAACAAGGCCTGGTCGGCTCGGAGTCAGTATACTGTGTCTGAGTGGGGTATTCATGTTAAACTGCGGCATGGTATCTCATGATCAGTGGGCTGGCTCTATAAATCGGCATCATTCCGGAAGCAGCCACACACGCGCATGCACGTCGCTCTATAAGTGCAATAATCTTGGACGCGACGTTAAACCCCATTTTTTACCTCACCTTATAACAGTGGGAGTGGGTCAGAGGTTTTTGAGGCAGTAATGGAATGACAGTATCGATCCTCCCCTCATGCTTATCATATTTTTGAATGACCTTCCCAATACCGTAGTAATTTTTTTCAAGACCCTGCCTGAAAACACAATGCTAAAACACTTTATATTTTTTTAATATAAATGTCTATTTTTAATGACCCTCCCCAAAAGATTATCATATTTTGGGTGACCCTCCCCTGATACTCTCTCACCCACCAATCATTGTAATAATTCACCAGTCCCTAAGTCCCTAAGTCGCCCTAGTATAGGGATCGGGCGGCCGGGTAGCCTAGTGGTTAAAGCGTTAGCTCGTCACGCCGAAGACCCGGGTTCGATTCCCGACATGGGTACAATATGTGAAGCCCATTTCTGGTGTCCCCCGCCGTGATATTGCTGGAATATTGCTAAAAGCGGCGTAAAATCAAACTCACTCACTCACTCACTAGTATAGGGATCAACACACGTTGCTTGTGGCTCATGTGACGGGAGAGAGAGACCCGCTAAGATCCGAGTTGGAATTGGTCTATAGCCACCCATGCTTTTGTCATATGAGGTGACTAACGGGACCGGGTGGTCAGGCTCGCTGACTTGGTTCATGCACGTAATCGTATCCCAATTGCGTAAATCGATGCTCATGATGTCAATCACTGGGTGGTATGGTCCTGACTTGATTCTTTAGAGACCGCCGTCATATAGCTGGAATATTGCTTTTTGAGGCGTTAAAGAACAAACAAATAAACAAACCAAAGCAAGGGAAAGATAGACAAATACATAATTTAACAGTAATATGAAACCCAAGTGCTAATGATACTCAAGGTGAGGTGAGAACGATTTCATTCTTCAAATCAGTCTTTGTTTGTTTGTTTTTTTAACGCCGCACTCAGCAATATTCCAGCTATATGACGGCGGTCTGTAAATGATCAACATGACAATCCAGTGATTGAAATCATGAGCATCGATCCGAGCAATTGGGATACGATGACATGCATTAACCAAGTCAGCGAGCCTGACCACCCGATCCCGTTAGTCGCCTCTTACGACAAGCATAGTGGCCTTTTACAGCAAGTATGGGTTGCTGAAGACCTATTCTACCCCGGATCTCAACATATTGATAATATACCGAGCGTCATTGTTTGAGGGTCGCGCAGGTAATAAGAGATACAACGTCGCGCTTTCTACTTCAAGAGTGTAGTTCAGTTGCACATGGAATAACCATTTTACACCAACATTTACTGTTACTGCACGCGCAAGGGCTGAACCACTCGTTGTGTCCTTGTGTGTTTCGGGGAACTTTTACCACCACCTTCAATCTAGCACTTTTCTTTGTTTTTAAAAGTAGTTGTCAATTTTACCAGTTTCGTAAACGCACCCAATCAGTGTGACATAGACATTAATAACGGTTCTATCACACTTTAGACAGACTTATAAGATGGAACAGGCAGGTTTATCCCACAGTGTAATGGAATCTTACAGAATACAGATTTTATCTTTTTAGATTT